AGCTGGGTGCGCCTGGGGACCAGGCGCTGTGGTCCCTGTATTCTCCCGTCCCCTTGGTGCACAGCCCACCCTGTTCCTTTGAGCGGGATACGCTGCAGGGGGAAAGGAGCTGGTTGAAGAGATGATGGTGAAGACCCAGAGCAAGGTCGCTCGGCTGCCACGGTCGAGTTCTTGTTGTGGAGCAGGTGAAAAACGACCGTTTTTTGTAGGGTTTTTTTTTGCTGTTGTTTTGATCCTGGTTCAGACAGAAGTGTGCTGAAATTCTCCCTGTGAACCTTTGTTCTCTACGAAAGCCAAGACGCAGATCTGCAGCCTAGAAAGTCCCCGCAGTAGCAAGTGGGTCCTCCTGGGTGGGAATGACACAGTTGGCGGCGTCGGAAGGGGAGTCGCCCTCGACCTGCCTCGTCCTGGCCTGCGTCCTGCAGGCGCCCCCAGGGTCTTGTGTACCCCGTCATCACAGGGCATGAGTGTCACGATCCCCGGCCTGCCCCGGCCTGCCTTTATTTCCTGATGTACCCTTCGCCTCCGGCAACCCCGCGCTCTCAGCCGGCCCGCTTTCTAAGTTGTGTTTTCCGAGCAGCGTGAGGGAGACAGAAGAAGCGGGGAGACGGGGGAGCGGGACGAAGCAGCAGTTGCCTCAAGTCTGTTTTTCTGGAGAGAGCCTGGGTGTAAATAAATAAAAAATGGAACCACACAAAGAAGATTAAAAAAAAAATCAGAGATAGAAGCTTTACTTCGGGCCCGGAGTCTAAATGGCAGGCTCTTTATGAGTCCTGGAAACGGCGGTTTGGGGTTTTTCATTCCTTTTCTTCCCTTTTATGCTCTTGCAAAGTCCAAATTGGGAGAGGTGTTTTTTAAGCCCAGCATGATCTTCGGGTGGAGCGGTGGAAAGTGTGCGCCTTTGGAACATGCGAGTCAGCTCCCTCCTTTTCCTGCAAGGCCTCGCCAGGGTTTGGCCTGCCCTGGCCCCCCCCAGAGTGGAAACTTAGGTACGGAGTGTTAAGTCGCTTGTCCGAGGTCACGCGCAGCCTGGTGGTGGCCGAGCTGCGACCTGAAGCCAGAGACCTGCTGTGTGCCGGGCAGGTGGAGGGGTGGAGGGCACGGGAGAGAGATGGCTGCAGGCTGGGTGGGGGGAGCCGCAGGGAGCGAGAAGCCGGAGGGCCCCCTGCACCTGTGCAGTAGGCGGAAGCTTAAGGGTGAGTGGGCTTGAGGACAGCGTAGTGGGTATGAGATCGGGCAGACTCGGGCTCACTGGGGGCTCAGGGGCTGCACATAGTAGGTGCGCCTGACACCTTCACATTCGGGGGCTCTTTCCACTGCCTCTGACAGGGACGGGGTCACTGCCACCTGAGACGCAGATGGGTGACCCTGGGTGAACCGCGGGCCTCGAATGAGCTGTTCACATCTGTGAGCAGGGAGAGTCCTCGAGAGACTCAGGAGCCTCCTTGCCCCCTGCCGTCCCGCGGCCAGTGGGATCGGCGGCCTCCATGGTCACAAGGCCTGCCAGGCCTCCCTTGCGGTCTCCTGGTTCCCGTGGCCTCCCCTACCTCTCCTCGAACCCTGTGTTCCACCAGCTTCTGTGCACACAGCCCAAGGCTGAGAGCGCCATGTGGCCAGGGGACCCCGGGCACCGGGCCCCTGGCACTCACTGGCAGCGACTCTGTCACCAACCACCTTGGCCCTTCCTGGCCTGGCCTTCATCCAGCCTGGTTGTCGCTGCCTCCTCCAGGAGCGTCCCTGGGGTGCTCCTGCAGTGAAAGCCCACCCTCCCTGTCCTCCAGGGCTGCCACAGGAAGCCTTGTGTCCCCTGTCCCTCTATTAGCCGGGTGCCACCGTGAGCCCCAAGCTGGGTACTCCGGGAGGAGGTCTTCCCGCCACCCCAGCACAGAAGCTGGGGAGACTGAGGCTTAGCAAGTGGCAAAGTGGGATTTGAACCTGGGCTGTGCGGCTTCGGCCTGGGCCTGTGGTCTGTGGCTCTTTCTCTTCCTTGGGGACCTTCCTCGTGCCCGGCCATCTTGGGTGACAAGCCCCTTGGGAAGGCAGTCCTGGGCCGGAGCCTGGCGGCTTTTGTGAGTGCTTTTCTCGTTTATTAAGGTCACAAAATCCCTGGCCCCGCTTAGTGGTATTTTTGATGTTCAAGGACAGTGTGGAATTTCTCTGTTTTTATGTGACCCAGTTTCTGTGCTTTGAAAACGCCGATCCCTTCCTCCTCCCCTGCTGTGGTTTTGAAATCAAGTGAGGCTTCCTCTCCTGTGCCAGCCACTCGAGGTCCAGGGATGGGGACAGCGTCCCCTGCCTTACAACTCCAGGGTCTTTTTGGGAGGAGTCAGGGCCCCTGGGATGATCACTCGCGTGGCTCCTGTGTCCCCTGGGTGGCCTGACTCTTACATGGACCCGGATCCTTGCTCTTCCTTGGATGTCAGTGTGGCCACTGTACGTGGCCGAGGCCGGAAGAGACCTCCTCGGGCCTCTTCTGGTCTCTGTGTCCTCGTGTGTGACGTGCGTAGCTGGCAAATGGGACTCGGGAGTCCATGGTCTTCTGCAGACCTCCAGTCACTAGGCTGCTGTGCAGTGAGGACTTTGTTGAAAAAACACCTTTTCTGCCCTTTAAGACATTTTGCTAGCGGGTTATCTCAGCACTCTGGGAGACTGAGGCAGGAAGATCCCAAGTTCAAATGCAGCCTAGGTAAATTAGCAAGACCCTGTCTCAACAAACAACCCCCCACCCAAATAAAACAAACAAACAAACAAAGCACTCAAAAAATATGGCTGGGGATACTAAGACTGTAGCTCCGTGCAAAGGCCCTGATTTTAATTCCCAGTATACCAAAAGAAAAAAGAAAAACCCCACAAAAACAAAAACCCCCAAACAAAAACAAACCCAGAACAACAAAACGAAACAAAAATGAAACTGCATCTCTGATGTGAGTATTTATTGAACTTTGGTCTCTGTTTTCTCAACTGGCTTGGGTCACCGTGAGGATCTTTGGAGTATTTATAGGAATAGAGCAGATGGAGTCTCAGAAATCTGTGTATTCATTGGAACTCACTGAGGCCTCTAGCGTTTTCTGCTGCAGAATTACTGCAAGGATTTGGGGATAAAAAGCCGAGGATTTGGGCATCGGAAGCCATCCATGCCTGGGGCCTGTTTGGGGAACTCACTGTGGACTGGCGCAGGCAGGAATGCCGGGAACAGAGCCTCACCTGGAGGGAGGCCCACGGTGGGGGTGGGGATTACAGAAACATAGGCAGCGCGCAGCACCTACCATTTTAATCCTTTTTGAGTGCCCAGCTGAACGGTATTGAGCACATCCACAGTGTGTGCAGTCCCCACCACCAAAGCATGAACCTTGCCAGCCCCGGCCACCACCTTTGTACTTTTCATCTCTTTGCATGTGACTGACTGTTCCGTGTGCCTCGTGTAAGTGGAATGACACAGTCTTTTTGTGGTGACTCAGTTCTCTGAGCACAGTGTTCCCGAGGTATGTCAAGTATAGCAAGTGTCAGGACTTCCTTCCTTTTCGGGGCTGAGTAGTATTCTGTGACACCGATGGGGTACATTTCGCCCGTCCCTTCTTCTGTCTGTGGACGGTTATTCTACCCTGTGGCTGTTGTGAGCACTGCTGCTGTCTTCGTGGCTGTAGGAGAGGCTCTACTGTTCAAAAAACTGAGTCTCAGGGTTTTCACTGATGTGAGAGACCCCTGCTGCTGTCATCTCTCTGAGGGAGTGAGGGAGTTTCCTCAAAATTGGCTGCAGGAGCTGTGTGAGGGAGGAGACTCAGCCAGGTGAATTGGAGCTGGGGCCACCTGCCAGGATGATGCCCTGGGGAGATGGTGTTGTCCCATGGTGAGGCTTCAGCCCAAGTCTACGTGGGTGGCCATTACTCCTGGTGCCGTGATCCGGAGCTTGCGGGGCCTCTGGTGCCAGGGAGGACGAGAGATCCTTTCTGTTGCTCTGGACTTGGTCTGTTCCTCTTAGCTCACAGCCAGGACCTCCATGGGGTGTGCTCTGTGGGCCACGGCCTGGCGTCTCCTCCCTCTGGTCCTGTGCCTGTCCCCGTGGCCCTGATCTTGCCTGTCACCTAGGGCAGTGACTTGGGCCCTTAGGGCGGAGAGGATCCCTCCTGTGATGAGGAAAGTCACAGAAAGAAATAAAGATTGCATTACTCATAGGGCCTTGGTGCACATGTGGTGCCTATGGGAGAGAGAGAGGGGCCCTTGGGGCCACAGCATCAGCCATACTGGTTCCTGGAGGGAGCCGTGGTCTAGATCAAGCGGGCCACGTTCATGCCTTGATGAGAGGGGGCTCCTTTGGTCAGGCAGGCTGCATCTGGTGGTTCCGTGGGGCAGGAGTCACAGGAGGCAGCTGTGGCGTGCAGGGTAAGTCACACCGGGAGCTGGGCTGGGTGTGTGTGACCAGGAAGCGTGTCCAGGGGACTGAGCTTTGCTCTGGTCTGGAAAGCCCAAAAGATTTAAAATAGACACGCAGGTAACAAAATCATAGAAGCACAGTGCCACCATCCATCAGATTTCTGTCCTCATGGACGTGGTCCTGGACAGCAGCGCTTGTCAAGTTCTGGCCTTCCTCCGTGGCATGCCCGGCAGGAGGGCTGTTCACACCTTGAGTCCATGGCTCAGGATGTGGCTGTCCGTGGCCCTGTTGCTGCTGTGGTCTAAGCTCCGTCTGCGACGGCACGGTGGGGAGGCCTGGAAATCTCCAGAAGCTTCCAGAAGCTTTTGTGTCTTAGTCATTTGTCCCAAAGCGCAGTGAGACCAGTTAGACAGATATTGACAGGAATTGGAGAATATTTGGTGCAGGAAGAATTATAGGATGGGTTCTTAGCCCTGAGCGTTTCCCTTTGGACTCTTTCTGGGCCTCTAGCCATTGAGGAGTATTTTGCTAAACCTGAAGACAAGTGTCCGTCTCCTCTTCAGCCAGTGTGAGGCCACGGCATTCCATTTATGCTGACCATGGTTTTCTTCCTCTTTTTTCTCAATAGTGAGTGACCTACAGGAAGAGGGCAAAAGTGCCATCAACTCGCCATTGTCTGCTGCCTCCGTGGATGTCCACCCTGAAGACACCCAGCTCGGTACAGTCAGCTCCTTACTTCCTGTGCACCTGCGTGTTCAGTCGGTCTTGCTGGGGCTGATGGGATACTGGTGGTTCTGCCTTTGATTGGACACCAGATGGGGCATTTGAACATCTTGGTCTTAGTCAAGGTCATGTTTATAGAAGCCCTGAGGGGAAAGTAAGTCTTCCTGTATAGGTTTCTGCCCTGTTTTTTTTTGGGGGGGGGATTTTTTGAGACAGGGTCTCACTGTATAATGAGACTGACCTGGAACTCACTATGCAGCCCAGGCTGGTCTCGAACTCACAGCGATCCTCCTGCCTCAGCCTCCCTCCCGAGTGCTGGGATTGCAGGTGTGTGCCACTACACCCAGCTTCTGCCCTGTTTTAAAAAGTGGGCCTTATTATCCCAGGCTTGGTGAAGCACAGATTAGGGATAAAGGAGAAGGCAGCCATCGTGGTCATAGATTAAGAGGGCCGCACAGGAGCACTGGGGTAGGCAGGGTAGGAAGGAGGGAGGGAAAGCCAGTATTGGGTTTCCTGACAGAAGTGGGTGCAGCAGGCCATGCAAGCTCCTGATGGGCTGGGCTGGATAATTAGTGGGCTCAGGCCCAGGCTGTCCTGGGTTTCTGGTACCTGCCTGGGTGACAGAGTCAGCTGAGGTTGACTTGTGGGCTGGGAGCCTTGCATGGGAAGAGGGGGACAGGTCGTGGCCTGGTTTAGGGAAGCTCTGGGAAGGCCGGGTGCCATCTCCAGGAGTTAGCCTGCCCCAGAGGACAGTCTGGGGCCACAGCTGTCCCGAAGCTGAGACTGGCTGGGTGGGACCTGCCGAGTGGCCAAGGCCCCCTTGCTCTCTGCCTGCTGCACGAATGGGATGTAGTCTAGGTGCATTTTGGGGATCCATTCGATGTAGAAGGAAGTGTGGGGCGTTCTGCTTATCTCCGACCCTGGCTCCGAGGAAAGTCCTGTCCATCCTTCATTTTCCATGATACGGCCAGGCCTGCAGGAGCTCACAGAAAGGAGCAGGTACAGGTCCCCCCACCAGCCGTGGCCCTAGAGCTGGCCAAGTTCCCCCAGATCCACCTGAACCCACGGATCCTCTTTCCTCCTGGAATGTCGGGCCTCTCTGTGTGGGTGGGGCTGCCAGTCATCTTCGGAGGCCTCTACCCACCAAAGGCAGGAGCACCCCCACCAGGCGGGGCAACCCGAAACATCTCGAGACAGTGCCACCCATCCCTGGGGAGGGACGATGTCATTTCCGATCTAGACCAACAGGAGCCGTAGGATATAGATTTCCTTTGGTCATGGTGACAGGCCAGTGCCTTCTGGCCCTAATCCTACTGTGTGACCGGCTTTCCAAATCGCTGCTCTTGGACCTGGGAGCTGCCAGGTTCCTCTGGATTGTGAGGCTCATGTGACCTGGGTCAGGGCTGGCCCTACACGGGGACATCCAGGCTCCAGGGAGGGGTGGCACCCACTGACCTTGGGATCCAGCCCTGAACACAGAAGAAACTAAGAGGAATGGAGCACTGGGGACAGACATACTTTGCTGCAAAATGTCACCTTTGTTGTTTTAGTTTTGCTCTCTTTTTCTACTATTCCTTTGTGCCCACTGTTTTACATATGATGTTGCATTCCGATTCTTTCCCCCGCTTAATGGATCCAACCTTTTCCGTGGTGTTGTAACCTTCCTGGCTTCGCTCCTGTGTTTATGCACAGTGCCGGCAGGAGCCGGAAGCTTTGGTCTCATATCAGATCTGGGCTGGGACACCGCTCTGGTCTCTGTCAGTGCTGCCCTTCCTCTCTTGCTATTTTCCCCGCACAGTGGAGAGGTTTGGCTTCCGGTGGGGTTAGGGCCGCCAGGCAAGATGATGGAGTTTGGCTTCACCCTCAAAAGCAGAGGTCCTGAGCCGGGCGTGGTGGCGCACGCCTGTCATCCCAGCACTCGGCTGGCTGAGGCAGGACGGTCGCTGTGAATTCGAGACCAGC